ATATATGAAACTGTGATGATTGTTGATAACTTAAGAAATAATGTGTTGCAAATCGATTCGTCCAATGGTTTGGACAAAGCATGCTTGTGGCATTGTCGTCTTGGACATGTCAACAAGAAACGCATGGCCCAACTCCAAAAGGATGGAGTGTTGGAGTTTGACCTAAAATCATATGAAACTTGCGAGTCTTGTTTACTTGGAAAGATGACCAAGTCACCCTTCACTGGTACTTGTGAAAGGGGTGAGGGTTTGTTGGATCTCATACATACTGATGTATATGGGCCCTTCAGATCCACCACAAGGGATGCGAGCCACTTCTATGTGACTTTTACTGATGATTATAGCAGATATGGGTATATCTACTTGATCAAGCATAAGTTAGAAACTTTTCAAAAGTTCAAAGAGTTTAAACAAGAAGTGGAGAATCAACTGGGCAGGAAGATAAAGATGTTGCGATCCGATCGGGGTGGTGAGTATCTTAGTATCGAGTTCCACGAGTATCTTAAGGAATGTGGAATTGTTTCATAATTAATGCCACCTAGGACACCACAACTTAATGGTGTGGCTGAGAGGCGCAATCGAACCTTGTTGGAAATGGTTCATTCCATGGTGAGTCGTGCATCGCTACCTATCTCATTATGGGGGTACGCCTTAGAGACTGCCGCCCATATCCTTAATCTAGTCCCAACTAAGAAGGTTTCCAAAACACCTCACAAGATGTGGACAGGGAAAGCTCCCTCTTTGGCACACATAAAGGTTTGGGGTTGTGAGGCTTTCGTAAGACGAGAGACTCACGACAAGCTCAAACCTCGTAGTGAGCGTTGTATTTTCATCGGCTATCCACATAAGTCTTTTGGATATCTCTTCTATAGACCGAGTGACAATGTTGTCTTCGTTGCGAGGAGAGGGGTCTTTCGTGAGAGAGAACTAATATGCCAAGAGGACAGTGGGAGGCAAATTGATCTTGAAGAGCTTCAAGAGACAAGCGATGAAGGAACCTTTAACACTAGCGATCAACCCGAGGAGGAAACTCCTGTTGAACCAGTTGACGAGTCCTTACCTCTTAGATGTTCTAGTAGAGTTAGTGTTCCACCTGAGTTTTATGGGTTCCATATTACTACTGAGGGTGATACGTTTATTAGTGACAGTACACTAGTAAATTCGGATGAGCCTAACAGCTACAAGGAAGCCATGGCAGGCCCTGAGTCTGCGAAGTAGAAAGAGGCTATGGACGCGAGATTCAGTCCATGTATGACAATCAAGTTTAGAACTTGGTTGACAATGTACCAGGTTGTAAGACAGTTGGGTACAAATGGATCTTCAAGAAGAAGACCGACATGGACGGGAAAGTACACACGTATAAGGCGTGATTGGTTGCGAAGGGCTTTACTCAAACTCCTGGAGTTGACTATGATGAGACCTTCTCACCAGTTGCTAAGATAAAGTCTATAAGGGTTATGCTAGCCATAGCTGCGTTTCATGACTATGAAATATGGCCGATGGATGTCAAAACCGCTTTCTCTAATGGAAAGTTGACTGAGGATGTTTACATGAGTCAGCCAGAGGGTTTTGTCGATGCGAAGCACCCTAATAGAGTGTGTAAGCTTGAGAAATCCATTTATGGATTGAAACAAGAATCTCACAGATGGAATCTTTGTTTCGATGAGAAAGTAAAAGAGTTTGGCTTTACGAGGTGCGAGGATGAGTCCTGTGTATATGTCAAAGCTAGTGGGACTATAGTTAGTTTTCTCGTATTGTATGTGGACGACATACTGCTCATAGGAAACGACATCCCAACGTTGCAGGAAGTTAAATCCTGGCTTTGGAAGTGCTTCGCTATGAAGGACCTCGGAGAAGCTGCCTATATTCTAGGGATAAGGATTTTGAGAAATAGGAGTAAGACACTAATAGAACTTAGTCAAAGTACATACTTGGATAAAGTGTTGAAACGTTTCTGCATGGAGAATTCCAAGAAGGGGGAGTTACCAATCCAAAGCAATACCAAACTGAGTAACACTCAAAGCCTGAGTACAGATGATGATATAGTAGAGATGAGCAGAGTACCTTATGCTTCCACAGTTGGCTCAATCATGTATGCTATGACATGTATTCGCCCTGATGTGGCCTTCGCTTTGAGCATGGTCAGCAGATATCAAGGGAACCCTGGTAGAGCTCATTGGACCGCAGTAAAGAATATTCTTAAGTACCTACGCAGGACCAAGGAATTGTTCCTTATCCTCGGTGGGAGCGATGACTTCAGAGTACGAGGGTATAGTGACGCCAGTTTTCAGACAGACCGAGATAATTACCGATCTCAGTCAGGTTGGGTGTTTACCCTAAATCGAGGAGACGTGACTTGGAAAAGTGTCAAGCATGAGACCGTGGCTGATTCAACGTGCGAATCAGAGTACATAGCAGCAAGCGAAGCGTCGAAGGAGGCAATATGGCTAAAGAACTTCATTGGAGACCTTGGAGTTTTACCGGCCATAAAGGAGCCTATGGAGATTTTCTGCAATAACGAAGGTGCGGTTGCCTTAACCAAGGAACCGAGGGATCATGGTAGATCCATACATATCGACAGGAAATATCACGTTATTAGACATCGGGTGGAACAGGGACTCCTCGTAGTAAAGAGGGTATTATCAGAGGAGAACCCAGCAGATCCCCTTACGAAGGGACTGAGTAGGGTTAAGCACTTGCAGCATGCTAGGAGCATTGGGCTGAAGGACGATATTAGTTTTATTGATTAGATAGCTTTTAGAAACTTGTTTTAACATTTGATGATTAAGTAAAGGTGTTTTATTTATAAGTTAAGTTACTGTCTTGTGTTAATTATTTACTATTGTTTCACTTTGCATGTTTTGACTTCCTGAATAATGAAGTTATTCGAACTATCCACATTCGATCATACATTGGAAGTAAGTATGAAAGAAGACCGTCATGAATTGGCTTGTAGATTGTCTGAAGTATTTGGACATAGCAAAGTGCTTATGAAATAAGATTTGAGTATTGGATTAAACCCGCGCTTACCTGAATCACTTCATGGAATTTAATCACGAGTGATTGTAAGACAATAATATCATATAGTCTTTAAACCAAGATCTATGAGTTGTTGTTTGTGAGTTGGTTGTGCATTGATAATGTGTAAACGCATCAGTAACTTGGTGTTATAAAACGTATTGTTGTTTACGATTTGATGTGCCAATAGTACAAGCATATGAGTCGAAGTTTATCTGTTCCTTTTATCCCACAAGGATAAAAGCGATATCTTGGGTCCCTCGATGATTTGGTTTGACCTATGTGTCGGGCCCGGTCAGGACCAAGTTGATGTGTTCAATTCAGTTCTATGTCAGACAAATCGGAAAATCGGGAAACAAACTGTTGGACAATAAGTATGACTATGTTCCATGTGATTGTCCACATGATATCTTGAGAATGGAGGACTATATGATCCCTTATCTATAGGACGTGTCTTTTGACTAGGTCAGAGTTAACAGCGGCTTCTGAGAGCTACGATTGCTAATCAGATCTTGAACTCGTACTTGCATTTATAGTTATTAGACTTATCCAAGTGGGAGACTGTTGGATTAGGTGTCTAAGCCCATAACTATAATTGGTATGTACTTGACCCGATAGTAGCATGGTCCTTTTGGGTTGCCTTCACCGAACAACTTGACTGGATGAATAAAGGAGAAAGAGGTAATTATGATTTATTAATATATTATGGGAATAATATATTAAAGGAGAAATCATATTGTTTAATTAATATTGGTCAAGAATTAATTTAGAATTAATTTTTTGGTCAAAAGAGATTAATTAAATTAGGGGGACTGATACTGTAATTATTAGATAGTTGCAAAGTGGGCTGAGGAAACCCTAAAGATAAGGTAGTCGAATTCTTGTGGATAAGGCCTTAAGAATTCGTCCAAAGTAGGTTTCTGGATGATTCTTGTGGGTTGCTTAGAGCCTAAGCAACCGGATAAGTGTTTGACTGAAACCCTAATTCCTCACGAATAAAAGGAACCCCTTGGGCACCTAATTTCTACTACACCTTAACCATAAGAGTTCTAGGAGCCGATTTTAGCCTCTCCCCTCTCTCTCTAATATTCTGCATTGCTTTGGTGATTGTGATTCATCAGAGGCACAACATTTGGGGTGCTAAGATTCTCAAGAGCTCAAGATCTTCAAGCAACAATCAAAGGTATGGTTCTAACTTGTTGATTTCGATTTTTGTAGTATGCTAGATTAGGGTTTACAAGCCTTGGACAATTATTGCATCTATAAATAGAAAAACTAGATCCAAGCATTAGGGTTTGCATGTACACCATATGATTGATCATCCTAATAGCTATTCTTTCCTTTCGTTTATGAGAACTATTCCCAAACTACGAATTTTAAAAGATTGATCATCCTAATAGCTAATCCTTACAAGGTTTTATAGCAGTAGATTTTAGTGGATAAGGCTATAGACATCATTCAATATCAAATTCCATTATAGTTTGTTTTACTTATCCTTAGAAAATAATCACCCTAAACAAAATTATTTTTAGAAGGCCGAGGATCCATACTTCGCTCCATGATGTGTAAAGGGATGTCGTAAACACACCATATGTGACAACCCGAAATTTTTAACCTTGTAAAAGTCAACTTGGGTCAAAGAAAGTCAAAACATATCAATTAAGGTCAAATTTATTTCTTTAACTACCTTAAAATACTTAGAGTAATAAGTTATAGATATATGGACTTTGTATTCAAAGTGTAGTGCGTTAAGGATGAAAATCACTTAGGAACCGAGAAGCCCTTGTCTGAACCGCAAACCTCGTATGGGTTGCAAACCTCACAGAACCGAACACACCCTCGCAGCGGAACTCGCTTCGGCTTGCGGCCGTGAACATACTTCGGAGCTGTGAACTGTCCTCGGTCGTGAACTCTCCTTCGGACCGTACACTCTCCCTATATATAAGTGTTTGGCTGATTTATTCTTCAATTCTTCATCTTGGGCCGTAAACACACTCTTTTTCTCTCTAGATCTTCAACCGAAAACTCCCATTTACCTCTCAAATATCATCCTTCTTCCCTTAATCTACAAAGGAACTTGCTTAGGATCTTTAAGTGTTCTTCTTCCATCAAGAATATTGGGCCGAAAACTCAATAACATCAACTGTTCTTGGGCTGTGAACTCAAGAACACCAAGTGTTCTTGGGTCGTGAACACACAGCCTGGCCGTGAACAGCAGGCAGCCCTCCATCTTTGCTTCTAACACCCTTCATTGTAAGTTAAACTTGCAAATTAGTTCGTTTTCATATCATTCTTATGAGTATATTTATTAATAGTATACCTATATATTACATAAATTGTGTTTAGGACCGGTTTTGTTAACAAGACTTCACTTGTGGAGCTAACGTCCTATACCAAATCTCCAATCGAGTTCCCAACATAAGGTGAGTTCATACCCCTATAATCTACCTTTTTGATGATTTTAAATGCTTTTAGGGGGGATAAAAGTTGAATACAATTAAATTGTGTTAATATTTACTTGTGATAACAATCACCCAAAAGGTTTTCCTATGCTTTTAAATATTGTTTTTACAATGAAAGATTACCAAATACTTCCAAAATGAATCAAAGTCACGTAAATTCTTTAAAGTCATGTAAACTCTTTTTAAACACCGTTAAACTCTTTTAAATGTTTTATAAACTCCTTAAACTTATATTTTCCAAAAGCATATTTATATGTGTATATGTACATAAATAAGATTTAAAGGACTTAGGACTGATGATTTGCCTTACTTCCTTTTCCTTGTTTGGATGTGGACTTAAGTTGGGTTTATTTATCCGAAGGTCGTTTCCTTCTTAATTATGTATTGTGTGTGTGTATATATATATATATATATATATATATATATATATATATATATATATATATATATATATAAGGTTACTTCAGTCGGTATCATTACCTTTGTATCACGCTGAGCAAAGGGGTACAATTCATGAGAGATCATGCTAATCAGATAGAACATATAAATTATAATAGGTATAATTTATGAAACAAACGAGAAATCTATTTTCTAGATAAGTATACGAGGTTTAATCTACTTTGTTAAGAAAAGGAAAAAAAATTCAATCTTTACTTAAACTAGACAACCCAAAATGCGATACTACTTCACGGCATAGTAATATATTTGGTATGTCGCGTTTTATAACCAGAGTCTCCTGGAGGGAGAGCGGGCATTGTGTGTATAGATCTATACAGGACTGACAATCCCACACCTCGCTGCTAGCTACAGTGGGACATGTCAGTCTACGGGTGACAAATGTCACATCAGTTTCGACGCCAGAAGGTCGTCGTGTTTACGCTAGTCAATCAGCATGGTTATAACCACATCACATTTTAACCCTAATTAACCAGCTTAATAATAGGGTAGTTATTACACCAGTAGGGTATTTTTAAGAAATACTACTGCATCAATCATTTTCCATAAACAAAACAGAAAACATTCTTCTTATAATTTTATAGTGAGTTAAAATTATGTTATACTATGTTATAAGTACAATAACACATATACAAAACGGTTTTATAGCGTTAAAACTACTTTTCACTTGTAAAGTGGAAAGTGTAGGACTTTCGGAAACGAAATCAATCACTTTCTTAAAACTATTGCAACCATAAATGAAACTATACTTTTGGACTCACCAACTTAAATGTTGATCCAATCTTTCAAAATAACTTGTATTCTCAGGGAATCCAGTAGACAGGTACACTCCCAGGGCTTCTGAGAAGACAGCCTAGTGCCATGCTGCGTCTTTTGTCTTTTACTTTATCTACTTTTGTTGTCAAATGTTCAATGTTTGAACACCTATGTAAAAACTTATACATTATTAATGCAGTGTTTGTTGTACTTTGATTACTATAATGCATGTGTTGTGATACTTGACATGAAGTCACCCACCCCCGGACGTTTCCGCCGTTCTGGTTTGGGGGTGTGACACCATAAAGTTATTTAGGTAGGCAAAGCTGTTTGCCAATTTCGATCACCACAAAATACTTAGATCTTTGAGATTCATTGACTATCAATTGCATGTTAATCTCGTATTATGTTCATCTCAAATTCAATGACGGGGTCGCCGCGGATCACTGAACAGATGGTGAATCAACCATACAAAATCGTGTGGTCCCCGGCTCAAGTTACGCTTGAGATTCACGACTTCCATATCATTCTCTACCTATACTCTCAAATTGACGTGTCGGATAACAACGCGAGCTCCCTCAACATGTTATAAAGATAATGTGCAACTTTTATGGATAACATAAGATTCACATTAAATAGATTGAGAATTAACCTTGAAAAATCGCATGGCCCCCGGCTCAAGTTACGCTTGAGATTCGCGAGTTCCATATCATTCTCAACTATACTCTACATTGATGTGTCGGTTAACCACACGAGCTCCACCAACAGAATATAAAGAGAATGTGCAATTTTCATGAATAATGTAAAATCACAATCTATTAATAAAACGGGATTTTGTTTTATACTTGTATTTATAATACTTTTAGATTGACCATTATCACTATCAAACCCTTTCGGTAACTCCATTCTCAAAATGCAACAGGGCGGTGAGGGTGGAAAGCGCGAAGCATATTAAAAACCGACCTCATTAGGAATCAATGAGACCTCCTTAAACCCCTACATCAGAATGGGTGAGCCTAGTCATGGTAAGATGGACAATGTCAATATTTAAACACGCG